CACATCAAGTGGTAGGAATTTATACAGTCAAAGTCGATATGCTCACTGATCGATGGCATGAACATTATGATCCCAGGAAGTCCTTCATATTTATATATATTTCATTATTTTTAAGTCACGACCGTTGCAACTCTGTAATTTTGATTCAGGTTTAGGGAAATGATTGATATCATACCATAATGATTTATAGCCATCCAGCTTCCATTCTAGTGTTGCGCCATAAACTAATGTGGTTCTGTGATGTTCGATTCAACTCAGGTGATAAGTTTAATACTGTTGGCTGAATTTATCTGGTCAGATGAAAACTTAAAAAGAACCAAAAAACAATTTCAGTAGTATCTTTCCTATCGTCCATAATTATTAACCAAATCTTTATCTTAGCTTTTGTTTGCATTGTCGAATCAGTTCTCAGGATCAGTTTCTTAGAACTACATGGATTTGTTATAGTGTTAGATGAGATTGCATAGATGCACAGGAGAAGCTCTAAATCCCTGGAGCTTTTCGCAATCAGTTGTTTTTCCCGAAGTTTTGAGAAAAGGCACTTGAAACTACCTGTAAATATCAGATTCATGGAGGATGAAAAACCAATAGGATGTGGCCTTCCACAAAGGCCTAGAAATAGTCAAGACCAATCTAAACGGTTCTCTTCACCGAAGAACTGAGCGATCGACAAGGATGGAATTTGAACATCACTGTTCAAGTGTCTACGAATATATATATATATATATATATATATATATATATATATATATATATATATATATATATATATATATAAGACCGTGATATCTTAGAATTATTTAAATCCGTATTTAGTTCCCAATATTTTGATTCTGATTGTTACACAGCTTTCCTCGTAGATTACCAGGGTGATGTTATTGCAATGAGAAATTCAGTTTTGGCGAGCATTTTGAGGTAATTTTGTGTGTAAGGTTTCGTACTACATTCTCCTGACACATATGTCCATAACAGTTAATGAATTCCTAGCATCCCGTTTCCTTGTCGACTAGGTTCTCACTAATATAGTTTTAATACACTTGAATCGTCTTTTTAGTTCACAGTCTTACTGATCAGACTTCACATATGAATCTCAATTGTCCCAGCAGTTCCACTAGTATTTAATAATATTTATTAATATAGATTCACTGATAAGATCAACGTTGACTTCATAACACTAAGCTTCTTCAACCTTAACCTGTTGGTTCAATTCAAAAATCATCATTCACACTGTATATGAAGGTTTTTCCCTTGACTAAATTTAAAACAAGCAAATAGATGTATAAAAGCAGGATTTAAAGAATACATAAGTTTTGGTAGAACTCATCTGATTATTCCGCGTACTTTTCAATCCACACCATAACGTAATAGAGGGTGAGATATACATATGCATTTAAAATTAAAATGACGAATAAAGCTTAACAAGATACTGGCTTTTTGAATTATGTCAAGTAGACGTGTGACAAATCTGGGAGGGATGCAAAGGTCTATGACAAATTTACATGAATCAGAGTTGCACTACGCCATCGAGAATAAAGTATTCAGTAAACGTTGAAGTTATGATTAGTAGTATTAGAACTGTTTATAAATGAGAAAGGTTAGTAAGGGATGTCATGCGCAACGGATGGTGTCACAATGAGAATTTTTATTGTTGACCCGATCCTTTTGAATTTAGAGTCTGGCTGTCTCAGACGGTAAATACAAAAGATAGAATTATGCAAGCGCTTTTCGGATGATATTCTTACTACACGTAGGGGTAAATTGGAGACGAGAAGCAACGCTGAAGAAATTCAGCCCATGTCATACGACTCTTCACTTTACACCAAACAATGAAGGAAATGATAAAACCAGATTTTAGATGTTTTCTTACTGAAGACGATAGAAAAATTTGTGAAACGGTCCATATACAGAAAGATATTATAGGCGAAACAGTATTCAAAACAAAAAAGGAATTTAGATGGAACTTTGTTACATAAGGGTAAGAAAATTTATTCTGACAGGATGATGGAACATTAAATAGTATTTACGAGATATCCTATCAAAATTTGTCAACCAGTACGTCAGGAATCCAGGAGCAAAACATACTTTCTTTACAATCAAAAAAGAGTCAGTACACACCAATCTGCTATTCGAATGAGATGATGTACATGATACAATCAAACGAAGGCTAGATACAGTCATAAAAACAACTTACTCTGTTATAAAGTGTTTTTAAGTATTATGAAACAGGTGCTACTGCAGCCTGCTAAATGCAAAACACCTAACCTCTACAATTCTAGTTGTGTACATCAACTACGCTATGTCTGTGGAAGCAAATATGTAGGTCATGTGGAGGAGCGGCTGTCTGATCGTATAGCTAAGTGTTTGTTTAAATGCCAGGGTCGTTCTGAAGTGTAGGTTCCAAGAATCACACTACTACACTTTGCTTAGACTCTAGGCCGAATATAAACTCTATGGAGTCATTTACGGTGGCTGTTAGACAACAGAATAAGAAAATGTTTGCTATTGAAGAAGCCTTCGCATTTACAGTTACCAAACCAAAGTTTTAATTACAAAAGAACTTTGGCCCATGTGAACTTTTGGTTAGTTTACGCACCTTTTCCGAACTTATTTGACATTTTACAAAAAATCTGTTTCTCCGTCTTAGTTTTAAATGCATTTGCCTGTTTCATCCTGTATTTCGTCATAGTAAATATACATAAGTATGGGGAGTAGTCAGCTGAGTTCTGTTGAAATTTATGACTCCCTCGGATTCTGCTTTGGGTATATTTGCTGCTTGCTTTAAATCTGTATCGAGTAAGAAATGCTTTCAACTCCCTGTTTGTTGGTGTGTATGTGCGTATACCGATGGCATCAAAGAGCATCATTACACTTCTTACCACTTAGCTGGTAGAATAATCTGAGCATTTTTTAAAAATATCATAGCCGGCTTATCAAACATTTCAAGAGTTTACGTACGTTACGAAAAGTGGCAATCAAAATCAGCTGGATATTTGAAATGCTTATCGACTCATCCACTGAGTCGAAGACTAAGCAGGAGTAAAACACATAGATATTCGCTGATATCTCATTTAAATATTGCTTACAGGTAGTGAGTTAATCACTCATCGAGAGTTGTGTATTTTAAGAGTATTTGCATAAGTACTAGCAGTAGTCATGTTTTTCAGTTTATCTTATTTGTCTCATCCATAATATATTCCGCAAACACTGTACTTCACTTAATTTTCTTTCAAATTAGAGGTGTGGATTTACTTATTGATTACAAGTTGGCATTCATCATGGGCTGAAATCAGGTGGTGAACTGGGCAGCTGTTTTATCGAGTTCTCCCATGTTTTGAATAGTTCTCTAACTGATATCCATGATAATTACCAACTTGAAATTAATTTTTATTTTTGTTTTTTCTTTCCGTTGACATACTTTGTTTGCTAGTGAGCAAAATCTATTGTCAAAATAAACATTTTACAGCATCATTATTTATCTGATCGATAATACGTTGCTCATTTCTTCCCCTGAGGCAATTAATATCCCCCGAAAATTGTCAGACAGGATATTATATATTTGGAAAATTAGTCTTTTCTTTTCCCTAAGAATCAGAGTAATATGCAAAAAATTCAGAGACGCTGGTTTTTCAGGTATGCAAACTCCTTCGCTTTGTAAATATGCATTATATTGATGGAGTAAAATTCAATTATCAAACTGATATGAATTCGTCTTGTAAATATTTTTATCATTGATGCTATCAAATTGAAAACTGTTGAACATTTATAAAACTGAGAATTCTGAAAAAAATTTATTTGCTTGATAAATCAGTCTTGACAGTACTAGAAGTAGGACATTTCCTTCTAATTCACCTGAATCAACATTAGTTTTCTTTAAACGCAGTGCTACAACAGCGCTGTTTCGTATTTATAATGATGATAGTTACTATACAGACAGTAAGATTAATCATTAAAATGTTATCATTACTACTTTCACGCTCTCATGTTTATATTCTTCTACAGGTAAAGCTTTCAATTTTCATCACTTCGTCCAAATAAATGTCAAAGGCTGCGCTAGAAGTAAATAACTGATCATGCATATACTGAAAAACTTAATTCCAAGTAAACTGATCTGTTTTAATGCAGAACAGAGTTAGAGTCTAGCAAATTTAGGCTTATTTCAAACTAGCCAACAGCTGTTTCAAAAAAACGTCTTTTATCTAACTTGTGTGGCACTGGCTGTCATCTGTTTTTATTTGGTCTAATATTATCGGCCGATTTTGCTGTGATCATACACCTAAATTAGTTATGTTAGTAAAACCTAACTGGTTTATCTAACCCCTAAACTTATATTCGTCTTATAATGATCTCGGCGACAAGCAGAAGAATTTAGGACGCAAATTTCACTTTATTTCGGACTAGCCAGCTCGATGCACCTGCATCCTAATAAGTGACGTTGTCCCCCTCAGGCTGGAACCTAGTACCCTTCGCTACAAACACCACAGCGTAATCCCCTAAGCAATTGTGGGTGCATTTGCTACCGCTTGTGCAACGAGTACTAGTTATTGTTATGATAATTATAATTTCTTATTGCTATACAGGGCTAAACTGCTTAACCTCTGTTGGCAGATGGGCTCCTATAAGGACGCCTCAATACTGCTGAATATTAATGATGTTAAACTGATCTCGGTGACTTGCTTGTCTTCATAAATTGCTACTATTCAGCTGGCATTAATCCGTTTCCTTTGACTTCTTTGTTGTGAAGTTGCATAAGCAAATGCGTAGTTAGATTTGGGGAAACAAGAGCATAGAATACGCTACAACTCATTAGATTTTACCGAGTACAGTGTGCAATATTATTGTCCCAATCTCGTAAACAAGTCAAAAATCCTTAACGTCTTTCAAAGTCAATGAACTTATTTTGAAGTTATAAGTTAAGTTGTATCAGATTAATAAGAAACAATACACATTATCTACATACAGAATATTTTAATGTTTCAATGAATCGTGAGAAAATGACTTACCGTTTCAGCTAATCCAGCTATCACTTTTCCCAGTGTTGTAAGCGATTTATTTATATTTGCTCCTTCTTTCAAGCGGATATCAGTTGCTCCTGTAGCATCGGACCTTTCACTTCCGGCTAAATCAACTAGGCTTATCTTGCTGACCTGAAAGTATAATTGATAAAAGCATATATAATTGAATTCAGTGAAAAATTTGAACATATTGATTTGACTTACTAAACAATATAATATTTGATGAACATTAAGTGATATTCCAACTAATTAAATGTTCACCTTGAAATCTTGTTACTGTTAAGATAGATGAACAGTTTTCTTGCAGTGAAATGTAAACTGCATTTATTTCTACACTAATCTTAATTGTAAAGACATTTTCATGCAATACATACGCATAGAAACAAAGTTATGGCATTAAAATGAAAGCTTTTATTACAGTGAATAGGATGAATCAGCTAAGCAGAGAATACTCTTCAGTAAAACAAAAAAAATGAATGACAGTGTTCAAATTACAATGTCCATAGGAATTAGTGGTAAACAAAAGAACATAATAATATGTAGTTTTCCTAAACAGACGAAAATATCAAGAAAAACATTGAAGATCATTCTAACAAAAGCTAAAATAAACAGTTAGGTTTCTTGTTTTTAACTAGAAAAGCATATCTTCATAAAACAATGAAGTCTAATTGCTTATTTCAGTCGGTGTCAGAGCAGCGTATATAGTCACTTTGAAATCAAATATCTCAGGGAGTTTTCTTCGGTGAAAATCTCCGTAAGTGACAAGTTTCATACTGATAAATGAATTCATTGTACTCCGATTTTGAAATTCATATGGAAAACTGTAAACTTAGGTAAGAGATAAGACTACACAGAGGACATACAATGCAAGATTTTATGTTTGGACATCCTGGTGTATGTGTATGTAAAGTTGAACAAATAAAGATAATTTGAAGTGTTTTATTTTCAATCTATGGGGAAATACAAATACTAAAACAACTAATATCATTTACTCAATAGTCGAAATTTCCAAACATCAAATCTAAACCTTTTTGTGCAATAACGAAGAGAAAACGGTTCTTGTCTGTTATCAATAAAATAAGTCCAGCGAATATGATTAAATTGAAATTGTAGGGTGAGAAGATAACTTAGGTAATAGGATACCAATATTTTTTTGGTATTAAAGCAGTCCAGAGTAGTCGCAAACACAGCGCTTTATTTTCCGAACATACAACTCAGGTTATCCCAGCTAAACTGTTACAGCTTCTAACGTTTGGAGGATTCAAAGCTTGATTTCTTTCGGTAAGCTATTGAAAATACTACAAGTAATTAAATGATTTATTTATGACCACCATGAAGTTCGTCTGACTCAAATATGCAAATAATGACCTTTACTATACCTTTTTGCACCCATGAGCAAAAAAGACTAAATTTGCCTAACAGTCGCCAACCTAAAATTTATGAACGTCTCGCTTTTATAACCACAAAACAAAATAATCGATAAAAATTGGTCGGCACTCAGGGTCAGAAACATGAAATTGGTTGCTCCCCAGTGGCCAATCAATGTATCTAATCCAGTTCTAAAGAAAGTCAGTTTCGGCTAAAACAACTAAATGTTAACGTTAATGGCAACAAAGTTAGGTGATGCGAAACTTGAGTCTACAGGCATACAAATTTCCCTGAGGTTGCAGTTAGGCCTTGCTGACAAGTGCTAATAAGCATGAAATCTATTTCAAGCAAGGCTTCCTAACAATCATCTGCAACCAAATACCACCTCTGATCTATAAATTTTTAAGCTTATTAAAAATCGAGTACAATCACCAAAATCTGTTTACTTTTTTTATGACTCTTATTGATGTTTATTATTATTCCATCCAGATATGACGACAGTTGCATTAATTCTAATGTCCTATACCACCAAATTAATATTAGTGTGATTAAAATCATATTCTGTTATCATTATCAATAATATTACTTGACGATCATTTTTGTTATTAAATAAAACTGTTTATCAGACATATCATGCTTGAGTTGTTGACATTTTTCAAAAGGAAATGTAAATTTGGGATTGTAAACGAACCAGTTTGAATTTTTACAGAGTTTTGATGACTAAGATATGTATAAATCAATTGTACTGGTGAATTGAAACTGGTGGTATCATAGGGATAATAAGTAGTCATAATAGCATGTCATAGATTAGGACTAAGGATAATATGTTTCAAGAGTAGAGTTTAAGAGTTTGTCGACATAGCAAATAAATAAGTTGAGCATAATGATAAATAGTTTACGAGGGAAAAATTTCTGTACAATCTCAATGATGTAGAAGAAAAAAGTTTTGAAGTCCCGTGACATCGCTTCTCCAGAAAAAATGTGGCTTCCACGAGGTTGCGAAACTACATACATTTGTTCGCTTACTTCATTGAGATTTTACGACCAACTCCAACGGTCTAAGTGACATCATACCAAAATTTATCTCAATAAAAAAGGCAATAACGATATAGGAACAGTCGTTAGTGTTTTCTGGAGTATAGATTTGATGACGGTAGCAAAAGTAAAAAGATAGTGAATTAAAGAGATATTGGAATAAGTAGGTAAAATCCAGACTGTTAAAGTTAAGTTCGTCAATAAGGGAAAGTTACTTAAAAAGAGTGAATGAATAAAGCAGCAATTGGTCTTTCGAGAGTTAAGAAGATGTACTTTCTAAATTCAGAGTTCTTGTGTGGCCTGGCTGCAACATCTTCAGTTATATGGTGAAGATATTTTTACAAAACGATGTATTACACCAAAAGCCATACTAGTATCTATACAGCGATCTGTGCCTATCAAGATTTTTAGTATGAAAATTTCCTATTTCTGACTTGTAACCTTATGTAACCTTTTTTAAAATTACCATTCAACCTTCATGTCATCAACTAACAGCGTTATTATTATGACCGCCATTGCTGTAATTTCACTCTCGTTTTTTTTAAGTTCAGTTTCCCTAGTGGATTGCAGTTTTAAAACTTCGTATGCATATACGAATGTAGCGCTTGAGAATAAATTCGTTGGAAAGAGTTCTGCTCGCTGAATATCTTGTTCTTAGACGTCATGGTATCAGAAGATGGACTGGTCGAGTGGTATGTAGTATATAACTTGTTCTGTAGTAGTAGTTTGGTTGATATATGCTGAATTATGATCTTATCTCAAGTAAGATGAATTTTACTCTCAAATGCTACTGAAAGATATGCAAAGACATCACGATTATAGTGACTTATTCACGGTTCTAGTTACTTGTCGTGAACGAACATCAATTAGAATGTCCTACTTAGATTGACGATATAAAAACTATGGTTTCGACTCTGTTCTCATCACTTTTCATTGATAATTTCCATGGTATTTTTTCAGAAGTGAACTTTTCAGGAAATGCATTTTCACTCAGAATATCTTTGATATACAGTAGTTCTTTCATCAAACACTCTCCAAAACGAATTTATTTTAATTGTGCTATGTTTGTACTTCATTGAAACAAAGCTGAGAAGGTAAGCATACTGTGCCGTAGTCATTTGTCCCCTTTAGGTGCTTATTTATGAAGCCATTGTAATTTGCTTGCCATTAGAAAATGTAGTGAATTCGGAGAGATGTATATATCACTTTCATAAGTAAAATGAATTGCTGATAAACTTCGTCAAAGTTGTTTGAACACAAATAATCATACAACCACTTATTATCAGCTACAAAGTATCACCTGAGGACAGGCATCACAAATCTATGTAAGTAATTTTATCTTTCAGTCAGCTGTTTTCCAATTTCACTAGAATGGGGCCAAAAGTGAACCTGTTAATAACTTTGTCAGCTTGTCTGTCCTAACTAATGCTGAACACGAACTAGAAACTCATCGCATATTTTAGCATCTTCATGTGGTAAATTAGTAAGATTTAATTCAGTTTTAATTGTACCTTTTATGAGCACAAAGATAATGAAAATAATTCAGAAGCGATTATAACTAGAGACTATATTTGAAGCATCAAAAGACTCCGCATAACTAAGCAGCATTATCCTCAATAGACCAAACAAAGCGGATGAGTTTGTAATTATGAACATAGTTGATTATGTAAGTTAACGGAGTTCTTTAGTACAAAATGGAAGCAAGTTTACATGAAAGATATAACGGTTAAAGCAGATTCTGATATAATTACTTCACGAAAATGAAGGACTTAGCTGCATTTCACCAACCATATGTGAAAATATGAAATCTACGGACAGAATGATTCCACACACGTATAAATAACTGGAAATGAATAAACCTATAGTGCCAATTCTTACTGTCCTGGAAATATGCCAAACTCATCTAACCGTGCTACTAGAATTTCTCAGATATCTTGATTTAACAGTTTGAAAAAATATCTCGGATATGTTTCTCGCCACTGTTGCTTCAAAACTTATTTGTGCCGATATCTTATCTGATAATTGGAATTGAAGTGGATGAGCTCACTAACCACCTCCATTACTTGAACAATCAGCTCAGTGACCGAAAAAATCTCTGCATAGACAAAAAACTCAGTTGTATTTCACTGTTTAAGGCTATCTGTTCGAATTGCGAGATACTCAACAGCTTGATTAAGGGTTGGATGTACTGCGCAGCAGTTTAATCTGTCGTGTCATATGACCGTGAAACATGGAAATTAAATGTGGAAGATATGAAGAGACTTCAGGGTATTAACCCCTTTTAACTTCATACAATTGATCATACTTTGTGTAGCTACCGTGCTTGCATTGCATCTATCAGGCGTTGAATTGTTGGCAGAAGGAACTTAGTTGATAAGATCGCATACCCACAGAGACTCATATGACTGAGACATGTGCTACGCATGCTTAGTCACCCCCTGCCAGTTAGACGACGTTAGCCGAGGTAGGTCGAGTCTGAAAACGGGTTTAAGGTGACTGGATTTAAGCTTGGTACAACTTTGTTTAGTTTTCTACCCTTTATTTGAATTGTGTAAGGTAACGCAGACTTCCTGTTTGTGACTCGCGCAAAAAAAGATGTCTGTGATGGGTAATTATATTTGATGTGGCTTGGATTCAGTGTCAGTTATACAAATACTTCTATACCTCATCTTCATCTTAATCTTCACATCACATTGCATCAATATTTTCTCCTTATTCTTCTATCATAA